TTGTTTCTCCATTTACGTTTTACCTAATGTCCATACAAATTCTAGATCGTATCATTTTCTGTCCTGGTGAACATATTTTTACATCTTGAAAGTGAAAATACTCAGTTGCTTTGAAAATAAAGCTTGATATTGAGAATAACAATAAGGGTTTGCGAATTACAAGGTTTTTACTGTAGCCAAGTTCCAAGAAGGAATCTTAGCACATGTCTGGTCTAAAATGGTGTCTTACAACTAGGCATGTGCCTGGTTTGGAACTGTTCAAATTTCGCAACAACCTTTTTTTGAACATTTTGCACGTTAGGTATGCCTACAATTGTTGATTTCATCAGAAGTGTAGCAATAGGGCTGTTGGTAAACTCGGTAGAAACTCGTGATGGTTGTTGGCAGATCATTCTCCTTGTAATTTATCTTTTCTGCTTGTTTTTTTTTTATCATCTGTAACTTTTAATTATTGGTTTCTTTTCTTTTTCTTTTTAAATTCTTTTCGCGTTCATTTTTTCAAGTGGATCACACTTTTGAAAAGAAAAGGCTGTCAATTGCTGTATCTAATTTAATCATGTTGCTAAAGTCTTAAGAAATGCTCGTGTGAACATGATTTGACATCCTTTTTTGGAGTAAGAGTGAAAAAAAAAAGAAACCAAAGACAGCTACATAACTGGATTTTGGAAATTTGAAAGGACCAACCACCCACTTTGCCACATACATGAACAAGTAAATGGTAGTGTGCGTGTCACTTTCATGGGTTGCATAGCCAATTTGGCTGTAAATCTTCAATGCAACAGTCTTAATGCTCAATCCATGTTCATACTTCAGTATAATGTAGATCTTAATTAAAATGGTTTCTGATAATAATCTTGAAATTCATTAACTAGGCTGGTGCCACAAGAATGGGATGTTGCTTCTAGTGTATGACTACATGCCAAACGGGAGTTTGGACAATCACCTATTCCATGAAGATGAGGAGAATACCATCCTAGGGTGGAACTTAAGGTACAAGATCATATCAGGTGTAGCATCAGCTCTGCACTACCTCCATAAGGAATATGATCAGACAGTGGTGCATCGCGACCTCAAGGCTAGTAATATCATGCTGGATTCTGAGTTCAATGCTCGATTAGGTGACTTCGGTCTGGCTCGTGCTTTGGAGAATGAGAAGACATCCTATGCTGAGCTAGAGGGAGTGCCTGGAACCTTGGGCTACATCGCACCAGAATGCTTTCACACTGGCAAGGCCACCCCCGAGTCTGATGTCTATGGCTTCGGTGCAGTAGTTCTAGAGGTAGTGTGCGGTCAGCGTCCATGGACCAAGATTGGAGGATTCCAATTCTTGGTGGACTGGGTTTGGTCTCTACATCGCGAAGGGCGTATACTAGAAGCTGTGGACGAAAGACTGAACAATGACTATGTTGCTGAGGAAGCACAGAGGGTGCTGCTACTCGGACTAGCATGTTCCCATCCGATCGCAAACGAAAGGCCTAAAACACAGGCCATCTTTCAAATAATATCCGGGTCAGTGCCAGCGCCGCGCGTCCCTCCTTTCAAGCCAGCATTCGTATGGCCAGCATACGACGGCAGCATCGACTTCGACGCTCGTTCAGCTGGGACAACTCCCATTACATCTGGTTGGACCCCTCAATACATCAGCAGGGAAAGTGAAGGATACACGGACTCTCCTGTGAGTCCTGTCTAGAAGCTGCGAAGTTCCATTTCTAAATCATCCTTTTATTTCTTCTTCTTTTCTCTTCACATTTCTCGGCAACAAAAGGGAAGCATCTAAGATTTCAATACTGCAAATTGCTTGTTCTTTTTGCCTCTTTCAATTTGATTGACCCACCCGCCCCACCCCCCCTTTTTTTGTCATTGTTGGAAGGGGAGACCGAGTAATGGTGTAAAAAAAAAATTTAATCCACAGAATTGTAAGAGTTTTCTTCCTTATTTCCACCAATATTTTGTGGATAATCAAGCACTCTGGATTTGCCCTTTTCCTCTCTTTGTTTCAATTAACCAACAGAGATCCAAATTCATTGACCTTCACAATTCAATGTTTGAACAGTCAAGTTGTACGAATTCAAGTCTGACCCTCGAAGATCACATACGGAAAAGAAAATTAAGCCAATGCATCCAAACCTCAAAGTCAAGGGTGAAACACGAGTTTTAAACGATCAGGCTTAAATCAATTAAATCTGTCGATAAACTCGAATTTTTAACTAGGTCAACCATAGTTTTTCATTTTATTTTTCTTCATCTGGACCGAGGGAGATTTTACAACTATATAATTACGTGACAACGGTTAATAACTATTAAGGAGAGAATAATGTGATTTTTTTAATAAATCATTATGAATTTATTGATTGAATTTTTTAAAAAAATTTGGGGTTGACGCAGATTTACCTCCCAGATTACAATCCAGGCTTGACCCTGAGTGTTGGACACTTGATTGCTTTGACTTTGTGTTCTGGTTTGGAGGCTTTGGCTTTATTTTCTTTTCCTTCATGTGTCTTCAATGACTTTGTGTTCTGGTTTGGATGTTTTGACTTTGAAGGATCAGACTTTGACTTTTCAAACATTGAACCGTGAGATTCCATGACTTTGGATCTCGGATCTCTGTTGGTTAATCGAAAGAAAGAGAGGAAAGGGGCAAATCCAATGTTGCTTTGATATTATCCACAAAATTAAATTGTTTTTTCCCCCCATAATTACTCGCTCTCCCCTTCCAACAATGACAAACAAAAAAAGAACAAGCAAATCAGATTGAAAGAGGCAAAAAGAACAAGTAATTTGCAGTGAAAGCATCACGCAGGGAAGTAGAAAGAAAGTCAGAAGGCAACGCAGACTATTTGTATCAGTTACAGTATACTGGGGAACTGATAGTTTCTTACAACAAGTCAAGATCACTCACTACGAATAAGGATGGTAGAATGAAAAGCAGTAAAACCAGAACTCAACAAACTCGTAGATGAACATGATCTTTGTCCCTAGTTGTCAGTTATTATTCTCAAATTCATGTTAACTTGTCTTTCATTCCAGATTCTGTATTGAGTTCTATATGTTTTTCATCTCAAGTCAAACACAATCATAAACATAATAAAATACGATGAGCGTGAATATGAAGTCATATTCATACCACCCTGTTCTGCAAATTTGGCTCACATGGCTAACGTATGACGCTGACATCGTGAAGGTTGCGGGTACAAGAGTTTGCTGGCAATATTTTCTTTCATGAAATGACTCATAGGTCCATGGTTTTTTCTATTGGCTGGGTTTTTTTTTATATTTTTTTAATTTTATTATTTAATATTAAATTAATTATGAATTAATCTTTATATTTTTTATTATACAATAAAAAAATAATTTAACCCAATAAAATTCATAATCAAAGTTATGTGTTTAATGGGTTACTAGGGTTATGAATTCTTAGCTGATCTTTCGCTCCCGATTAATTGGCGATTTTTCTCTATATATTAATCGGCGGTTACTAGGGTTAATAATTAATTAAATATATTAATCGCCCATTCATCGCCGATTCTTTTCTCTCCCATTGAATTGCCGATTTTATCTAAAGATCTCCGGTTCAAATCCCAGACCCGATTGTTTTACGGTTTTTTCACGGTCAAAAACCAAGTTTTCACATGCTGCCGAGCAATTTCCGATTTTTTGACATCGCTACCGATTAACTACTCCCTTCACGGATAATGCTCGCCGATTTGCTGTTGATTATGTCGCAACAACCCCACAAATTTCCGAGGTATTAACGATTATCAGTCAAAGCAGCCGATTAATTCACATAAATAGCCAAATTTTTGCGTGCACATTTTTGCAATAATAAATGCACTTGAATTATTATGTTCAAAGCTATTCTTTTCTAAGTTACTTTTTCCACTATTTGCAACTACCAGTTTTTTTTTTTCAACCTTTTCCTTTCAACAATTGTGTCCATATCAAATATCAAGTAGAATGTGGTGCAATTAATGCTGCTTTAATTAATTAATTAATTAATTAATTAATTAATGTGTCTTTTATTAATTAATTAACAAAATAATTGTCTTCCCGTTGACTTATTTTTTTGAGATGCTTTTGGTTTTTCTTTTTAATTTCATCTTTAATGTATAGATTAATTAAGAATTAAGTATTATATTTTATGAGATTATTTCAATCTTTAAGTAAAGTCAAGACTATTCTTTTTTAAGTTACTTTTATATTTAAGATCGAATTTATTTTTGTGATTTGCTATTGACTTGGATTGTTTTTATATTTTTAATTATTGATTATTAATTTCATCATTTAATATTGGATTGATTGGAAATTAAGTTTAATAATTTATTTTAATTTTTTATTATATTATTTTAGTCTCATGATCAAAGTTAAACAAGTTAACTTGGGTTAATTCAAGTTTTTTTTATTTTTTTATTGATTTTTTTCAATTTTATTCTTTAATATTAGGTTAATTGAGAGTTAGGTTTCAATATATTTTATTTATTTATTTTCTATAAAATTATCATGATCTCATAACATAAATTGTAAATTTTACATATTAACATAAGTCGATCTAGACCGATTTAATATACTTTTGTCTCAATATTTTTTTAAAAAAAATATTAGCCTTCATTTTTTTTTAATTCAAATTATGTTTTTTTTTCCTTCAATTGTTAGGTTGTTTTTAAATTTATAAAATAGATCCAACCACAGGTAAATCCCTAGATGAATGTTTTTTCTTGAAAATACTTTAACAATACCTCGATTTTTTTAAATGTATTTTTTTTAAAATAAAATTCATCCAACCTGCATGATAGAAGAACTCTTAAGATCAAGTTGCAAATGCTTCTCCAAAACCTCTTCCTCATTTCCTTAATCTGAAGATTAATGCAGTAAATGTGTTCAAGTTGTCTAAACTAATTCTTCTCCAGAAGTTTGGTTGTTCAGACGGAGAGAAACCCAGCACATGTTGCTTAGGCTGCAATTTTCAGAGGACTTCCATGTTGAGAGCTAACAAGAACATTTTATGATGTCGAACAATACTTTCTTGTTTATAAAATTCTTGAGATAAAATCCTCTCGCTTTTCTGTTCAAACACAGGAACATAAAAGCTTGCAAATCTATAGAGAATCAAGCATACCTCTATTACTTAGTTGCTTGAAATCATGACATTCAGTTCAGATAATGTCAAAATCTAAGAGATCCCTTCTTTACCAAACTAGAAAGGTAACGCTAGAATGATAGTCATTCCAATTTATTTTGTGTTACTGGCAAGTGCAGCAGTTCTTCAGGCTGCAAATTGCTTGTTCCTTTATTTTTTAGGACTTGATACGTTTAAGTTCAAGGGCTTCACCAGCCTGCAATTTTGTGGTAAGTCTCAGCTTTCTGTAATCTTCATAAGTGAAAGGGACATAGAGACGAGGGTGTTCAGAGTCCACAAGTTCCGGCGGAGCTTCCACTTCCTCATTGGAAGCCAGCAGGGAT